CGTGGGCTACATGACAGGGTGTGTGTGCGTGAATATATTCACGAAACGTTTGTTCGCCACCACAGTAACCTAACAAAATACACCGTATTTATTGAATGTTTATGATTGATGATAAAAATACGCAAATATTTATTGTTTTTATCATCAATGATAAAAATACAATAAATATAGGTTAGGTTGCTGTGGTGGCGAACAAACGTTTCGCGAAAATATTCACCCCCTGTCATCTAGCCCACGAGGAGTTTTCACGAAGTTGCGCGTGACGTTTAAATTACATCTTTTGAATTCTGACAAGACAACTGTTATGGGAGGTTTTCTCTTTTCAAGCGCAACTAATGTTTTCAATTTTTCGATTGGGACTATTGTGAATTACTTCTGGATACTGTAATCTAAATACATAGGAAGACGAAGAAGTGCCATTTATTGGGCAGAGAAGCGGCGCGCCATTGCAATGGCGCCATATTCCACGAAATATCGAAGGACACAATATCGAAGATAAAATACACTGCACTGTTTCCAAACTTGATGAAACCTTCTTTGAAATCTTCTTCGGCCATTTATGACTATGTAAAACATACAACAACTGGATGATATTTGCCATATATATATATATATATATATATATATATATATATATATATATATATATATATATATATATATATATATATATATATATATATATATATTTATTATATATCAATAGTCAAAGTCGCATTTTTCTCGTGTTTTATTGGTTGAGAGCAAATCACGTGAGAGTGACGAAATTAGGCTGTCTCCCTCGCAAGGAGACAGCCTAAGAGGGAGATAATACGTTATCGACCGGCGAATAACAAAAAAGATCACGTGCGCCATCACGTGAAGATGCGACCTTTGGACATGCCTAGTACGTAATTAAAACTTTCGCTTTAAGTAACTGCAGTGTAGCCAGTGTTTAATATAACGTTTTAACAATAAAATATTTCATGTATTTACGTTCATTTGTTCTTTAATTTGTTGTTTCTTTGACTATTGATATATAATAAAACACTTATTTACTGAGACCTCGGGAAAGCAGTGTGTTTTGTGGACCCTCGACCGTCGATGTTTCCCTCGGCTTCGCCTCGAGGGTCCACAAAACACACTGCTTCCCTCGGTCTCAGTAAATAAGTGATAATTA